TATTACCACTCTTCAAGTGTGAGTCTAATAAACTTTTCACCAATATATGACTTTTGAGTCGTTTTTCGAATTCAGAAACGTATGGAAAATTGGAATGATGGCTTCCTCTTTCATTCCCATTTTTCGACGACCCGCCTTTTAAATCTATTTTGCGGATCCCACTATGTGAAGGCAATTAGTTTCCTCGCATCCATCATCTACAAAAGTCTTTAAACTTTTATTCCTTACTGGTTCGACAACTGCTCGAGGAATGTCGCTTTTCTGGTGACTTTAACTGAGAGTCGCTCGAACCGAATCTCGCTGGAATCCTAAGATAACCTGACTAGAGCGTCCCGCAAATGAGTTGTCCGAAAGAGTCAACTTTTCCCGTATAAGTCTTCCAAATTTCCTACCCAGAAAGAATGTTGGGCTGTAGTTAAATGGCATTGAGCCAAACGTGCACATGATAGGTGAATACTGCTGCTTTTACGCGTTTCCATCTTCTTTTTCTGAATGAAAAATCATGTTCGGAGTTGAATGGAAGAGGGCGGGGGTTCTCGCCGAGTGGTTGGTTAGTGGTGCTCGGCGCGGCTTTACGACATCCCCCCTCCTCCAGCATTCTCTGGCAGTCAATAATGAATGCTCTAATCTGACTATCCTCCAGAATGAGAGAAGATGTCTCAATCAGTATTTCAGGACTTTCATGAAAAAGAAAGAACCTCAACTATGCAATGGGTCTGGAGGAAACGAAATGAATGCTGGAAATATTCACACTCGTAGACTGATAAGCTGTGATACATACCAAATAAAGCGATGAAGTTGGAAACCTGTGCTAAACAGAACGCTTTTATTTCTTTCTAAATTAGATCGTCATCTGCACAGCGATACCCTCTTGTGATTGGGTTAATTAGCACAAACTGGTTTTTTAAATCTTTCTTCTAGGACTTGTGCTTCCGTGGGTCCTTTATAACTTGTTGTGAAACATTTTTAATCTTACCGATTCTCTTAACGAATGCCATCATAAGGCTTTTCCGTATGTAGTACTTTAGTCATTATCTTTGAACAACTGATTTGAAAATTGTGCACACACTCCAGTAATTTCAGGTTTTTCTTCATTTTTTATTCAGCCAGTGGCATTTTGGTGAGGACTTATGGGCCTCAGCTATTCTCCCAAAAATTGTCTACGGCTGTTCGTCAAATGTGTTTTGTACGTGATTATGTTTAGTAAGACAAGAAAAGACGTAACCATTGCTCTGATCACAAAGTCGATATCATTTTAGGTGAATCCCATCTTTTTGGCTGTGTTGCCGATCTACTCATTGTATATGTTCAAGTACTATAAGCTACACAGACACAGCGATATCCGATCACTTGTAAAGATGGAAAGTCGAGGTTTGGCTGGCACTCGAAACTACGAAGAGGTCATTGGCCGAGCGTGGCAGCTCAGTCAAAAATCCTGATTTTGCGTATATTTGCTTGAAATTTTCGGTAGTCGACATTCGTTTGAAAGTGAAATTATAGACGAGCTCACTTGACGTATTAATTACATAAAATATACGCATGAACTGGATCCATGATAAATATTGATAGCATATTGGTCGACAGTCTCTTTCGCTAATTCGCAGCAGTACTGCAAGAAATTCGCCATCGTGTCACACTGGTCGCTTTAAACTTCTATATGTGTCTCTATTAACTCGTCCATATCAATGGGAATTTCAACAATGCGAAATATTTTACACTTCAAACGAAAATCGATAAATGGCAGTTTTGATTATAAAAGTTGAGGAGATAGAAAATTGTGCCTACCAGATCTGACACCCTAGCTTGGGCGTTTGAGAACATTTTGAAAACAAAATCTGTCTGATGTTTCTTAGAGATTAAACGAAAGCACGAAGTTGTCAGAAAACTTGTTTATTCGGCTGATTTTTCGAGGAGCTTCGTCTTCTATAGAGCCCATTGATCCGAGCGGATCCCCAACAGTCGCTCGTTCTCGTTGTGGTGTTCGTTTTTGTTGTCGTTCTAGTCGGGTCTTTTTCGGAGAAGCACCGCTCAGATCAAAACTCACTAGACAGTCCTCCCCCTACATAAGAGGTTGTTGATGACAATGATTGTCCGCTGATAATATTTATTTTCAGGCTAGTAATTGATCCCGCGAGAGTCGGTATAAATTTTAGCTAAAATCTGTCTTTTAAGCAAAAACAAAGATATCTGGTAGCAGATGACGAAAGCTTTTGTCAACAGCACTAATTTCCGGGCACCATTTGATGAGGTAAATTGAAGACTGTGATGCATGTTACTTATCTACCTACTTGGATACTTTTACGGCCCATCTTCAGTGACAGTGCGCTCCCCGGAATAGTTCCCATTCTTTTCTCTCCCGCCTAATTGTCGCCCTTGGTGGTGGTCTATTTCAATCATGACGATGTACTCACGGCCTATTTCGTGATTTGAATTCGTTGTAATCTGCCGATGCAGATGCTTGGAGTTAGCTACATACATGTCCACCCATGGGATTGGATGATCTTCCAAGCAAACGCTTGCATTCTTTTGTGGTCCACTCCACTGTTCTTTTGCTCCATCTGCCAATATGTTCTCCTTATTATGTGATCTACCCTTTTATGTTTCGCGATCGGTGTAAGAATTTATGAATCACGGAGATGGTAAATGTTCCAAATATTTGAGCTGTGCAAGCCTAGAGCTAAAGAACGAACCTTCTAAGGCAGTAGATCACATTCATACAATCGCCTGACTATATAGACGTCTTAAACTAGCCGAATCAACCTTTTGATGAGATGCTATAACTCCTTCATACTAGATTTTGCTACCTGTACGCGTCTTAAAATCCACAGGAAAGCGTAAATGATCCATAAAAGCTGTGATACCTTCTTTACCACGAGAGACTGTGTTCACTAATAGGGAGTCTGTTCCATCATTTTGACATTCATGATAGAGCTGAATTGTCAACTGCAAGGTAGTCACGCGATAGCGACTTTTGATGGTGACGAATGGAATAGAGCCTCAAGAGAAAGAGCAGGAGAAGTGACTGCGTTCTTTTTAACCCAAGCACTTTGTACAATCGCCGTGGTTGTTCCATCTCATGTGATGTGTTAACTTTGTATGTGTGTAGGTGCAGTTAGGGGATCCATCATCTTCTCCCCTCACTGACGTATTTACATAGTACTCGCGCTTAGTTCTCACTAGAATTTCATAACACCTTGCCGAATCCGGATTTTCTTTCGAATTATTGAACCAGATTTCGTTATTGAAGCACACGAGATTCATCCTGAATTCATCTGAACAAACGCGTTGCGATATATTGTGGCGCAATGTGCAAGCCGTTAATAATACCGAATTCTGCAAGATAGATGATGGCTCGGAAATAACAAGTGCGTTATCATTGTCAACGGGTGACTAACTAATTAGCAAAACATATAGCTGACCGAGGGCCTATACATAAGGAGCGCACTGAGTGAGATTCTTCATTTAAGCATCGCTCCAGGGAAGAAGGTTCGACTCCAACGAGATAAAAGCGGAGATCCACAATGAGGACGAACGACAGTGGACGATCGACTTGAATTATCTATTCTGAAGAAGGCGAAACGCGTCGGAACGTTAGCCGAATAAATTAGTTCTTAGCATGCTTAATCAACAAAGAAAATCTGATTGGCTGGCTATTTGGGGGTCACAGGAAAATTAGTTTCAGAACGAATGTCATTTTATTGCTACGAGTGCTTCGTTTCGACACCCGCTTTGAGCGCGAATAGCATCTTCACTCATTCATGCACACCATTTCTAAAATCACATTCGATGTGATGTCTCAATTTACATAGTAAACTTATTTAGAAGTACACTAAAGTATATTCTAAAGAACGTATTTTCTTCTACGCATTGTACGAAGAAGACATACGGAAACTCTCTTTTCATATCCTCCATATCGTTTGATTTTTGTCTCTGGATCAGCTCAATCGCCATACAATCACATGAATTACCATAAAAAACTCCTATTTTCGAGCTCTTTATTACCTACTCGTTTTTATGACAAAATAAGGTGTGAGATAGAACCACAAGAATGCTCACATACAGAGACAATTTTGAACGTGGTGTATGTGTAACGGATCGGAACCACAACTGACTTTTCCGTGCAGCACGCGACACTAACCAAGCCAATTTTGCTTTTCTGTTAGTCGTTTTCGTGAAAGTTCTGCTCGTATCAATATTTTATGCTATTGTATGAAACTACCAATATTTTCTTGTAAGGCATGTGTTCTTACTCTTCACCAAAAGATAGTAAGCAAACATCAGTGAGTCAATTAGTATTCTTCTTTGAGTTGAACGGACACTAATTATGAAAATCTCCGGCAACCTAGTCGATGTTGAAAGAGCCTGTATAAAGCTACCTGTTCTTAGAGTTTTGAGCACTTTTCCGCTTTCTGCTCGCCGTTTCGATCTTTCGTGAAAAACGTATTTCTTGGTCTTTTCAATAGTTTGAAATGTTCATTCGATAGAACAAGTCAGAAAATTTTGAATAGTTTATCTCATCTTCACAAAACCCTTCTTATTGCGCTGGAAAAGCAAGAATAACATTTTGTTTCTTATTGAAAGATTTCTCGCTGACCAAAGCTTTTCCTTCGAGGTTTTGCTAACCACTCGTTGGATCAAATATTGAGAATTCCAATAATCCATTTCGCTTTTATAGAGGACCTGGTATTACGTTCCAACAGCCAAAAGAGAATTTGGTTTCACAAAAAAAAAGCATCACTTTGACTATCCTCTCTTCATTTCGATCCATTGGAAAGCGTTGATTTTTTGATCTTTCTAATTTTTGAATAATTAATCGATAGTTCAAATCAAAAAAAATTTGAATTGTATATTTCACTTCAAAAAAGCCTTCTTATGCGCTGAAAGAGTAAAAAATAATAATTTGTTCCTTATTCAATAATTTTTCGTTGACCAGGGCCTCTCTCCCATAGTTCTGAAAACCAAACGATAGATCAGAACTCAAATTTGCAACAAATTTTTTTGCTTTGGTGATGTAGTGGTAGAGCACGCGTCCCCGGATAGGAAGAGAACGCGGGTTTGATTCCCGCCTAAGGCCGCGTTTTTCGCTCACCATTCAACTCTCTTAGGTATATAGAAAACATCATAGCAATTTGAAATGCATTAAAACACTATTAATCTCGAGTATTAACAATATTTTTGATTTCTCAAGTGGACTTCTTAGTGCTCCATAAGAACCGAAAGAAATGGGTTCGCACTCGATGTTTTTTTCCAGTTTTGAGAAGCCCAGATTATTTTGACTGTTACAGCGTGATACGAGGTCGATATTCAAAACCAAATAAATTATTGGAATTCTTAAGACCTGATCTATCGATTGGTTACTGAATCTCTGAAGGGAAAGCTTTGGTCAGCGAGCAATCTTTGAATGAGAAACAAAAAAATTTTTGCTTTTCCAGCGTAATATAAAAAGCTTTCACGAAGATAAAATACATCACTAAAATTCCCATGATCTGAACTATTTAATGGCTACTTGAACATTGAACACGACCCGAAAATACGTTTTTTTCTAGTCATCGAAGTAAGGAGCAAATAATGATCCAGTTTTGCGAAATCCAATCTTTTGGCTGTTTAGTAATGCGTAGTTCATTTTGAAACCAAATGATTCATTGGAACCTCTGAGATCTGATCTATCAATTGGTCATCAAAGCTCCAAGGAGAAGCCTTGGTCAGCGAGAAATTTTTGAATGAAGAACAAAATATTATTTTTGCGCTTTCAGCGCAATGATAAGACCTTTTTGAAGATGAAGTACAATGTTCAAATTTCTTTGATTTAGGCTATCGAATGAGTATCGAATCGTCAAATATGAGCACAAAATAAGCTTTTTCTGAAGGGTCGAAACGGCGAGCAGATAAGGAAAAGTACCGAAATTCGTAAGCCTACTCCATTGTACTTGAATCAAAAGTTCTTGGGAGAGTTATTATATTATGCACATTATACTGAATCTATATTTGATTAATGGAGTTGTGCTAAGTCTAAGCTATAGAATCCAAAAGTGACGTTCGTTAATGGTCATCGACATTTTGCCACATTATTATACAAGCACGAATGGTTCGTTAGTGTACACATCTACTCAGCCAGAACGGATATTACTCTTTTCGAAACATGGAGTAACACCGGTGAGAAGCCATAGAACATCTGCTTCTGACTAGACTATTTATCACAGGACGTTAAATCCGCATCAGTAAAATTTTACGCTTCCTCATAACTTTCGCTTTAGCTAAATCATCTATAAAAAAGACGCTTAACTTAAGTGTGATATTCTCCTCTAGATTCAACGAGCGTCACTGCTTTCTGCGTCGTGTAGGGTATCGTCCGTTCTTGATTTAGTTTCAAGCGCGCACGAGGTTGGTATGAATCTATCATTCTGTCGGCGTGTTACACCTTCATCTTTATCAAAAAGCCACGGATTCAAGTCGATTGACCATCGTTGGTAGTTCTCGCATTTAGTCCGCACAATACAAACTACTGACGATATACTGATGAAATTGGAAAGGAAATAAGGATGTAAAGTTTATATACGTACAACGTGTCTTACCATTTGATGCAACAGTGAACACCCTTATTGCAACGACGGCCGGCTGTGGGAAATTGGCACATATCATAGGGATTGTGGAATAGAAAAGGGTGCTGAAACATTAGTCGTAACAACGGTTTATTCCATACCTATGCGAAAGTAAGAATAGAGAGACATAAATTACTTTTCACAGGGTTTACTGAAGGGGCGCCGAGGCGGAGTAAGTGCGATGCTCGTCACAGCGCGCGTGGAACCGAGCTCTCCCCCACCCCACTCTCTCCGGCAGTCAGCAAGAACGCCCTATGAAACGCTACGGTCATGATATTCTCGAAATACAAGGAGACGTGCTCAGTTAGTATGCTACGACGTTCAAGAAGAAGGCGAAACAACGAATTGAATGCTAGAAATACTGGGATGCACAATGGAAAAAAAATCACTGTCAAGAAGGGTCAGTAAAGTGCCTAAAGGTAAAAAGTTTAATGAAGTCTCCCATATATCCTCTATTACATCAACACTGCCACCAACTTCTCTGCAACATATGCATAATTAGAAAATTGGGCAGTACGTACAATATGTAAGAATGGCCGTGGCTCCGAGAAAAGATTCTAGAAATTTGAAAACAGACTACATCTTTCGTGATGTGCTGCCATAATGCTACAGTTGTTGCGATCGCTCTTGAGTACTTTACAGTAGATAGAAATAGCAGAATAATGCCACTAATTTTGTTAACCACTACCTCAATGATTATTTGACTAGTTCGACAACACTTGTGGAAGTATACATGTTTGAATTCATAGAAAGCATTGCTCATAGAAAATCATTCGTTACTGTAGCTCACCAAGTATTCAAAGGAAAGGAATTTTCTAAACAATCGTTATTTGTATATGGTCAGATTAGTTAACATGACAAATGAGTTGACATGATCAGGAAAAGGCAAGTAGTTTGGAGTCAAAGAAAATATCACCAAAAGTGCAAGGACTAGCTGGCAAAGAGCCAGGCTTTTCAACTCTGCAGTTTCCCTCGTCACATCTTCAAGATATATCACAAAATTTTTCAAATTGTTATAGGTAACGATGCCAAATGAGTCGATCCTGTTTCCAAAGGGGGCTTGAAAGACGCACTGAACACATTTATCTTATTGTGCAATATGGAAGCCCTCAACTAAATTGCTACTGAAAGTATTTTCTACAAAGCGAAAAAAGGGGTACGGCGATGATCTTCTTAGTTATTTTGGAACTTTCTAAGTACCGTTAGATTCAACTGTTTTTGTGGCGTTCATTCAGAGGCAATATATAATCTGACAACATAATTCGAGCCTTTCATGAGGTCTGATATGGCACTTTATACGGTGCTAGACACGTGTTTTGGTATCACAGTCTCATCATTAACAAGGTGCTTTTCGGTTCAGTAAATCTCTTGCAGGACATATACCCCTACACAAATAGCAATCGATGGCGAATTATTACAAATCACTGCATGTCAGGTGATAAAGTTCCCGAATATTCCCATGACGATAAACGTGCACATAAAGGAGTTGATTTCTTTTTCGTGGATGTTGTTTATTTTACATATACGCTGTACGTTTTTCCAGCACTTTTCAAGTACAGTAACATATTTTTCCACATACGTTTCCATGGCTTCCTTGTTATCGGAAAAACATTGTGAAAACGCTTATTCTCCCATATTGTAATAACGTTTTCGTCTAATACTGATAAGACATCGTGGCCTCAAAATCGTCACCGACCAGACAAAACTATGTCTTTAGAAGAGCAAACGACAATAACGATATATTTAGCCATTTTGACTCAGTATAGAAACAACCGTTTTCCTTGTTTTATTTCCTTGAGGTTCCAGTTCCTTTGTTGTTCGGATAGCTCAGAGTTAGGCTTTACAACTGAATGTCTTGCGTGGAATTTCCAACCAACAGCTTATCTTTGTTATGGATAAAAAGACATAGCTATCAGCGTTTTCTCATTCCCTGAGTGATGCACCATGCACTCGACTTTAATTTTTAACTGCGCCTGAGGTGTTCAATGCATATTGAGACCAGTACATGTTTTCTTGCATTCATTGTCCCATAGATCTTCGGACGATACACGTTTTGCTTCAGCTGCTGCTTGAGGATTTCATCGTAAATATCCTAAAGTACAGTCAGACGGATCTTCCATTTCTGAAGTTAGCAGGAATAGAGCGTCCTCAGGTGATTACAGGAGAATATTAGAGAAGTGGGTCCTACCAGAGCTTTGTTTCATCGTACCGTGTATCTTAATAACCTCCCAACCACCGCCGTGCTCCGTTTGTCACCCGCTCCCAACACGCTTACGGTGCCTCCGGAAGAGGTGAGATGCCGGTTCCACTCCCGCCAGAGGCTCATAATCACATAAAAAAAGATAAAGTTCTCGGCGTTAATCAATCCCTGAGGGATGCGCCATGCATTTAATTTTCAATTTCGATTGAGGTGATTGAATGCATATCTGGCCTTTACAATGACTCGCGGTGGCCTCCCGCTGAACCGAGTCAGTGCTGCTTATCCTCCCAGACAAGTATGAGACCTGTCTGGTACCAATTCACCGACCCTGGAGGGATGGATGGCTTGGTGAGCCATGAGCGCGAGATCGAACCATTGACCTCGTGTGCGACGCAGACCACCTCTAACCACTGCGCCTCATGCGCTCCTATATATAATCACATATCACTCAGTATTGTTGAATACATGATTGTAACTTCATATCACGACTGACAAAGCTCTCAAATGAAGATTCCGTGCCGCTATATACTTCACTTGGCATCAGAAATCAAAATCTAAAATAAAATCACAATGCAAAGATAAGTTATAATAAACCTCTACCTCTTTTCCTTCAAATGGGTATATTATTTGTTTTGAAGAAGAATTGAGAACGACGGCCTCACAGATTGTTCATTATCTATTTTCTTTCTGGACGCTGGCATCTTTAATTGTGAAAAGATATGAAAAGATTTTAGGAAGCATCACAAAATTCTATCTTGTTCATTAATCCACGTATGCAGTTGAATGAAACTGCTGTTGAATTGAAATGCAGAGAGGTGACGACTATGAATCTTACAACTTTTTCTCATCAAGGCATTCTTTTAATCATTTGCGAAAAATCTGCTTAAGAAAGGACTGGACTTACTGGAGTATCCGTTGTATCGAACATTTCAAGTAGTCTACACACTTCTATCATTGATATCAATTCCACTACTGTTCTATGTACAAGCCAAACACATTTATGGTTCCACTTTTCATCGCAACATAAAGGTAATGGGCATTCAGCAGGTGATCTTTATGGCAAGTTTTTTCTAAACACTAGAGAAACTATACTTTAGGAGAATTTAGGACTCAAGACGCCGGAATCTGCATTTTTGAAAAGGAAAACAGCATAGCCGTTCTGGTGTTTGTTGTCTTGCTAACTCAGTAGTCAAACATTTCCAGGATCTTTGAATTTTTCATAGTATCAATAAAGAATAGCATTCATTGATTCGTTGTTTACAGATCATTCTGTTA